AAATAACTCTGGCGTGTGTGTCGTTATTTACATAAAGAGTTGAGTGATACCCATTATGTTCTGCCCAGTTCCTACTGGAAACCACAGCGTATCTTGAACTGTTGAGCTTTAGCTCATTTTCTAGGGAGAAAAAAAATGTCATGAAATGGCAGGATACCCTATTTCCTAATATTTAATAGATCAAAGTGATGGAAAGGGTAATTTATAGTTAAATATAGAAAACTGTGTACTAGGATTTAACCTGGAAATAGTCTAGGTAATGAATGAGTGAAGTCTTGGAATGATTTAATTTTGACCCATCAACTTGGCCAGGCTCCCCAGGCGGTGCCGTGGTGAAGAATCCTCCTGCCAGCGCAGGAGACGCAAGAGACAGACGTTTAATCCCTGAGTCAGGAAGATCTCTGTAGGAGAAAAGGGCAATCCACTCTAGTATTCTTGCCTAGAAAATTCCATGGGCAGAGGAGCCTGGCGGGCTACAGTCCACCGGTCGCGACCGAGCGCAGCAGGACGTCGGCTTTGGCCACCTAACAGAGAGCAAGCAGTATGTTTTTTGAAACATCATTTGCTATTTCAGTGATAGCAGAACTGCTAGGTCCCAGCAGTTGCCTGCAGCACCCATTAAAATGATCTAGTCCTGCTCTGTCCACTGAACACAGTGTGTGACACACGACATCCAACAGGCAGAGACATCACTCACATGAGACGTTCCAACACCAAAGGCCAGAGATGGAGAAAACATACAGGGCAATTGCTGGCGACCATTCCTGTTACTGGAGTGACACAATGATAGTATACCCATCCTCAAACACTACTGTTCCATTATTACTGAAACAAGTACAGTACCAGTCTCACTCACTAAATGACTATCCATGTGCTAGGATCTCCCACACTTCATGATTTCAGGGAGTGAAAATATATTGCAAGATATCCTGGGAAAATTTAACAGTAAGGATTCAGCAATTCACCATTCCCTGTCATCCCTTGAAAATTAAAACTATTAAATAACACTTTATCCTTCAGTTATCTATTAGTCATTTCTTGACATTATGTATAATAGACACCCTTTAGAGTAAGGTTTACTATTAAACAGATCCAAGACAAGTGAGGCATCAAACTTTTCCTCCCCAAGATGAAAAATCTGAGATGATTATTCAGGAGCATAGTAATCATGTTCCCCCAATAGAAGCATCTTATACAGTGGTTAACTCAAATTAGTTTCCACTTAAAATGATTAACTCTGCTATAAAAAATAATTTGTTTCTTACGGTTCAAAATGTAATGGGCTGCTAAAATGTGAAGACTGGTCACAGTTTTAGGATTGCTAATAGGACACAGCAGCTTAGCAACTGTGGCCACAATAAAAAATTAAACGTGAAAATTCAGATCTCGCATGCCTCAGATAAATGCAACCCTGTAATCCAAAGTCATATCAGCAAAGACGTGAACACTGAGCAATGCTATTAAGACACCACGCTATGAAATAGCATAGAAAAGTCTATTATTCCTCTCTCTGCAGGCAAGAGATAGAGCAGATTCTGATGTTTACAAGTATACATTCAAGGCATAGATGCACTAATAAAACATGCCATAAATCAGATATGTATGAAATATAATTTTATATACATATATATACGATCAGGTTGAAATAAATATGAAGTCAAGATTTTCAAGAGATGGTTTGAGTTAACCACTTTTCAGCCTTTACAATTTACTCCTGGCTAACAGAGAAGTTTCTTAAAGTCTGGGAAACAGCAAATCACTGTGGAATCATTTTAAAAGAAGGCATTTAATGTGCTGATGATTCTAGCAGCAAGTGGGAGAAAATGCCACAGAATAGGGGAATACAATAAAAGTGCCCCAAAAGGAGTGTCGAGAAATCCTTCTCATCAAAATGAAGCTATCACTGAGTCTGACAATGACATGAAGGGTTGTCCGCAGTCAAGACAGTTTAGTACTTCTTCAGACCGTCATTCTTCTTCTGAGCAAGAATTTGAGAAATGGCACCGGTGCCAGAGCTTCTTGATTTTCCTTGGAAGATACTGTTTAGCCTCAACAGGAACAAGGCTCACATATATTTCCTCCGATATGCAAAAAGTCACAGGGAAGACCTAACTAATTTGCCACTACATGTCAAACTTGTTTCTATAACTCTTGTGTACCTTCTATATTGACACCAAAGGTACCAGCTCTTGCTCTGGTTATAATCATGCCTCATCACTGCCTTCAGGGTGGCCGGGGTGATTTTCTACTCCTGGTCCATCAGTGATAATTCTGACAGCCATGCTGCTCAAGACACAGTCTCCATATGCTGAAGGTGAGTCTTCTGCATGTGGTTACAGTTGCTGCACCTTCAAATCACAACCCTGTGACTACTGAGCCCTTCTCCTGCTGTCCCTAAAAGTTTAAATTGTAAGCATCATATGAGATGCCTAGACCAGAACTAAGTGCATATAAAGAACTTGATCCTCTTATCCTGTTCCATCAGAAGTAAGAAATAGATATTCCAGAATGAAGGCAGGAAGGAAATCCTGGCAGGCAGTGAAATAAGGGCTGACAAGCTCTCTGAACTCAAGAAAGTCTTCATCCAACAGTATACATTGAGGAAATGAGAGAAGGATTTTAAGAATTCAAGTGCAGTCACATGAATATTGGTTTCTCAGAATAACCATAGGCATTTTGCATGAATGAAACAGAAATAGAAAGCCTATTCTGGCAAAGGTTTGGCGTAACTAATCACAATCAGAGAAAATAAATGGAGACAGGGCTTGAAAAAGTGACTGAATCTCTCCACTAATGTTCAGAAAAAAAATAAATTGAAACATAGGAAAACCACAAATGCTATGAATCTAACTTTCTATCTTATTCTTACAAAATTAAAGTTCAACGTCACCCAAGTCATCCAGTGGTTGAACTTTCAAAAAAAAAAAAAAAAATATATATATATATATATATATATATATATATTAGAAGGTCCCCGGCAGTCTAGTGGTTGGGACTCCATGCTCCCAGTGCAGAGGGCATGAGTTCGAACCTTGATCTGGGAAGCAAGATGCCATATGCCTCGCATCCAAAACAAACAAATAAGCATGGGAAAGTGGGGAATAAATGATTTCTAAAAAGTGAGGCTGCTCTTCTATGAGTTCAGAGAATTCTAAACAGTTCACAGTTGATGATTTCATAATGTCACTTGAAAGATTATATAGTTCCCTTCGGAGATGAGTTTTAAATTTTCCTGTAATAATAAGCAACTAAGCAAACCCCACAGTCTTCATGCTGACTTGCCAGTGCAGTTCCTCTTATACTCAGTTTCTGTAAAATGAAGGCTTGTTCTTATCGGTGAGTTAAGTGTGCTTTCCTGCAGAGTCCTAGCCCTCCAAATGATTCTGTTTCAAGCTAAATAGTCCTTATTTCCTTTATCTTTTTTTATTCATTTATTATAGCCGCCACATTCCAGGATTTGAAAGGAACACATTTCCAGTGACATACACTTCTACTATAAAAACAAAAAAATATATATATAAATTCTTGAGGGACAAATTAGACAAAACTAGGCCAAATTAAACCTCTTACAAGATTAAGGACGTCTCCATTCACAGTCTTCATCCTAAAATGCTTCTGCTTCTGATCTTAAAAAGGGAGAAGAAAGCAGTGTGGCAGGATTGTGTTTTCTAAAAGGATATGTGGCAGGATTGTGTTTTCTAAAAGGATGTGTTCAAGTCCTAACCCTAAAATCTGTGACAGATCTTATATGGAAATAAGGTCTTTGCAGATCAAGGTGAGATGAGGCTGTATCGCATTAAGGTAGAGTAGACACTAAACATCATGACATGTCTTTATAAAGGGGTATTTGGATGTAGACCCATAGGAACGAAGGTCCTGTGAAAATGGAGCCAGAGTTTAGAGGGGGGCATCTATAAACAAGGAACACCAAGGATTGCAAGGGGTCTCTAGAAGTTAGGGGAACCCATGGAAGAATTCTTCCCTAGAGCTCACAGAGGCAGTGCTTACAGCGTTGCCAACATTGATGTTAGACTTCTAGTCTCCAAAATGCAGGACAATACGGTTCTTTTATATTTAGTCATCAGGCATGCGGCAATTGGTTAAGGCAGGCACCAAAACCCACAGGAAAAAGGATCAACTTTGGACAACGATCTTGGGTTCAAATCTACACCATGTTTTCTGGACTATGGCAACTTGCTTAGTATTTTGAGTAAGTACCAATTTGCTTGCATGTGAAATCTTGAGGGCTTCTGTAAAAAGCCAGGTATATAATAGAAAATCACTAAGGAATTATATGATTTTTATCAATAAAGCGAAAAAGCAAAATCATTCATTCTTACTCTTATATTCAATCCTGCATAATTTCTTAAAATCTCTGTTAGAGATAAACCAATCAGAAAGGATTCCAATTCTAAAATAATTACAGTATGTGTAAGGATCCATGTCTATGTCTGAGCTGTAACTGAAGACAATGACAGCTAAATAATTCCAGTGATGTTTATACTTAAAGTTTTCACTTTCCTGTAAACACAAATGTTGTAGACACCTTTATGCTAGATTTTAACAAGAGGAGAAGATTCAATATAAGCCATATATCCTTACTATCATATGCCCAGTTTGGCTGAATATTAGGAAAATGAATTGAAAGAAAAGACAATAATCATCAAACTATTTTAGTTAGCTCTGACTTGCGAGGTATCAAGGCATACAATTTCCAAGAAAAAGGTAAAAGGAGTTCAGTTTGGTATGATATCTACACAAATTGTTTTATTAACTATACAGTGATCCACAACCTCAGTCTCTGAATTATCTTGTAATTCCAGGCCAATAAGTGCTGACATAAACACACATATTTTTTCTCAACTGAAGTATCACATACTGTGAAAGAGTATTAGTTAAGTATGTAGACTTTTCTATGTCTGGCTACTTAGTTAAGTATCTAGACTTCTTTATGCCATCAAATCTCTTCAAATGGTAATAAACCGAATCACTTTACTTACTAATAGAAGCAGCAGGACAACGTCAGGGTTGTCACACGCACAGGCAACGTGCATTGGCGTCCAAAAGTCTTCATCCTGGTGGTTGACATTGGCCCCTCTGTCAATCAGGATCTCTGCGATGAAGACATTATCATACCGAGCACACTAAAAAAATAAATAAAAGAAAGAGAGAAAAGAAAATATACTATTGCAATAAACCATGATAGTCTTATGCTTATTCCAAATTTCTTTTCTACATACAGAAAACTTTAGTGCCAATTATGGAAGGTGGGAGGTGGAGCTCAATTGGCGAGGAATTTGCTACTCTTCTGTACTAACTTACAAGGGAAGAAGCTTATGTAAGAAAAGAAAACTGAATCCAGGGACAGTGGATATTATATTAGATATAATATTCTAGATATTAGAGAAGACAAAATTAGTGACTTAAAGGCAGTAAAAACTATACAATATAAAACAGGGAGAAAAATGACTACATAAATGAATGGAGTACCAGCGAGTTTGTAGGAAAACTTCAAACTGATTGACTGATAACCCATGCGATTGACAACACTGGAAATGGGGACTACAGGATAAATTCCTGGTCCTGTCATTATTTAATTACCTTTAAAATGAACAGTTAGAAGACAGCCTAATTTTTAAGCTTCCCTGGTGGCTTAGCAGTAAAGAATCCACCTGACAATGCAGGAGATGCAGGTTCGATCCCTGGGTTAGGAAGATGCCCTGGAGAAAGAAATGGCAACCCACTCCAGTATTCTTACTTGGGAGATCCCATGAACCAGAGGAGCCTGGTGGGCTACAGTTGCTGGGATCACAAACAGTTGGACAAGATTGAGAGACTGAGCAGAGCAGGAAAGTGATTAAAACACTTGGAATTTTAGCTTCTAATAAAAACACGGTATTTTTGCGTTAATTTCTTTTACTGTATGAAACATACATGCTTTAATGTTCAAGTAACATGTAAACAGAAAGAGTTAAAAAGAAAAAGGAGATTCTGCCTCCTCTCCCATTTGGGTCACTGATAACAATTCCTTATCTAGGCTTCAAGATTTTCTCTGCTGTTGAAAAAGATTCTCCCCCTCCGCCATCTATCTCTCAAGTCTAGAAAATGTACTATTCTCTAACCTGTGTTTGACATTTACCGATATGTCCTGAGCATATTTGCGAATCCGTTGCAGCTTGTCCTCATTATGCTTATGTGTGCCCTCAGCCGCTCAGTCGTGTCTGACTCTTTGCAGTTCTATGGACTGTAGCCCACCACGCTCTTCTGTCCATGGGAACTGCAGTGGGTTGCCGTGTCCTTCTCCAGGGGAGCTTCCCAACCCAGCGATCGAACCCAAGTTTCTTGTGTCTCCTGCATCAGCAGGCGAATTCTTTACCACTGAGCCACTCGAAATCCACTGCTATGGTCTTCTGTTGTCATAGCACGGAATCAAAAGAATTCTCATTTCATACTCCAGTTAAGAGTGTTTCCTTAGAACCAAGAGCTCCTTCTCAACAGTTTATGCGTTAAAGGTCTTAACTTATTAATAAAACCCCAGACAGCATTTCAGCAAAGCCCTTTGTGACTCTTGTTTCTCCAGACAGAGCAACTTTACTTCCAAAGAGTTAAGTCTGAATTTTTTCTATACTGCCCTCAATAGACTAAATCCCTGGAGTGCAAAAGATTGTTATTTGTTTTCATTATTTTCCTTCTGATAGTAGTTGACACCTGCCATAGATCTGATTCACGAATTATTGAATATAAATAGGTAAATTCAGACTTACTGAAAACTTATTACAATATGTTAAAACTAAAGACTGCATATGATGAAAAATATTAAAACCTGTGTATCAATTATCTGGGGCTTCCCCCATGGCTCAGCGGTAAAGAATCTGCCTGAAATGCAGGAGTCCCAGGAGATAGATGTGGGTCCAAACCTGAGCTGGGAAGATCCCCTGGAGGAGGACATGGCAACACACTCCAGTATTTTTGCCTGGAGAATCCCTTGGACAGGAGCCTGGCGGGCCACAGTCCATAGCGTCGCAAAGAGTCCGACACAACCAAAGCAACTCAGCCCTCAACATGCATCAATTATCCACCCTTAACACGGATGGAATTATTCTTCTCCAGCTTCAAAGTTACTGGGCGTTTCTAGCAGAGGTCTTCCAGAAACCTCACGTAGACTCAGCTACTCGGTGAATCGGTGGCGTTAAATAAACGAGGCTGGAAAAGCTTAACAACGTCCACAGCTTTTTCCTGATGCCCTGCACAAGCATGCGATGTCTTTTTCTCAAAGACGTTGATCTAAGAATACATAATGAGAGCTCTGGTGTTGATAAAGCATCAGGACTCATAATGCAGGATACCCAAGAGGGGGGGCGAACACAGAGCTACTCACGCTTGACATTTTCAAGGGCGAAATTGCCTTTTTCAGTACCTAAGGCATTTTGAAACCCTGTAATTTTGTCTCTCTGGCAACCTGCAATTTTGCATTTGTTTTTATTTACTCAGTAACCCCAGGAAAAGGAGGTTCAGTGCTGAGCTCACATTCCTGGAGCCGTCAGGAGGTTTTCTTACATGTATTCCACCTTCAAAGCCTCTTCATCTTAGCCTGACAACCAAAGTCTAACAGTAGAAAGATGCAGAGCATTTGCACTGGATTCAGAGCTAATTGAGTGCTTCCTGTTCACCTCATCACCATTATCTGCTCATTTCTTCTTTCTTCTGACTCTACCATTTCTGAATCTTTTTACTCTGTTCTCTGGGCTGTCTCATTAGGCACAGATCCTTATATTCTTACAGTTCATCCATCCATCCACCCCTTCATCCACCCATTTATCCTTTTAGGATGTACTGAGTACCTACTATGCATCACAGGCTAAGGATACAAAAGTATCTAAGACATCACCGTTTTTGAAAATTCACTCTGGCAGAGAGAAAAGGACGTTCTCCACTCATTACAATCCATTATGACAAGATTTCGAGCAGAAGCAAGGACCATGTGTGATGAGACCTTGGATAAAAGAGTAACTCAGTCTGACCAGGAGGACAGAGGAGGCTCCAGAACTGACCTCTGAAGGTGGCCAAGTGATGTCATCATTTTCCTCTTTCTTATCACCCGCTTATCCCTCATGCAGGTCTGCTGTGATTAGTTTATTTTTCTCTCTCTGTCTCTGAAAATTCCACTCTAAATAAGACTGCTTGCATCTTAACTTGTAATATCTATCACAGCATCACATTAATTAATTAAGCAATTAAGGGGTTAATGTGCCTCCCCAACAACCTACTGAGTGGCGGGCCTCCCATAAGTGCTGCGAGCCAGCCGACAGTCTGGTAAACAGAACATAATCACCCTGAGCCTATAATCTGTTTGGTGGCAACTGTGTGATAAGAAATGAGACAAACAACCACATAAAAGTTGAGCTGATTGTGGGCTGGTGGGGATGGGTTACTATATCCTCTGGGACAAGCCCTGGGAGAAGGTTTTGGTAGGTGATTTTTGGGCAGAGATACAAAGCAAGCAGAGGAGGGAGCCATGTGGATTTCATTTTCCAATGAAAACGCAGCGAGAGCACGGGGACCTGGGGTTGGTGGGCCCATTAAAGGATCGGCTGGGACAGGAGAGGCCCCTGGAGGCGTGGGCACAGACTGTGAACTCATCCTGCGTGGCCGCAGGCAGGACTCGGGGTTTTCCCTGAATGGGAAGGGAAGTCACCGGGACACTTTGACAGAGGAGTGACCCAGCCTGGTTGCTGTGGGGGGAACAGAATGCAAGCTGGACAAAGAGGGGGCCATGGAAGTGAGTGAGGAAGCTGCAGATCCAGGGAAGAGAGGGTGGTTTAGGGGAAGGGGGTTTATCCAGGTGAAGAGAGACGGCAGCATTCTGGCTGTATTTCAGAGGTCAACAAAGCAATCGCTGCTTTGCTGATGGATAGGATGGAGTTCTATGTGCTCAATGAAGTTGGATACAGTGTATGTATACGGAGAAGTGGTCGTCCCCCTCTGCTTCTTTCTCTCCGTCTGTCAAACACACACACAAACACACACGCACAGAGTAAAAATACATTGCATTCTTATCTCTTGCACTACTATTAGGAATGCAAATTGATATAGTCACAATGGAGAAATGGAAGTCCCTTAAAAAGCTAAAAATAGAACTACCATGTGGTCCAACAATCTCATTCTTGGATATATACCCAGAGAAAGCCATAATTCAAAAAGACATATGTATTCCAATGTTCATGGCAGCACTATTTACAATAGCCAAGACATGGAAACAAACTAAATGTCCAATAACAGAGAAATGGATAAAGAAGACGTGGTCCATAAATACAGTGGAATATTACTGAGCCATGAAAAGGAAAAAAATTGGGTCATTTGTAGACATGGATGGGCCTAGAGATTGTCAACAATGAATTGACATGATTTTTTTCAAAGAAAAGGTCTGCCTTCCATTAGGCCAAGTGGAATAATGTATTCTCTGAAAACTTAATCCAGGTATCACTAGGGAACTTACTGTGGAAAGACTACAGTCTTTATAGATAGAAGGTCAGAGTGTAAGCTCTGATACTACCTACCGCTGTGTGAGTTTAACTCTGTCCCTCAGCTGCTTACCTACTGAAGTACATAAGCCTAGGCCCTCCTCCACAGAGCTACTATGAATATCAAAAAAGTCAAATGAGATGAAAGCACATCATAAATAATACAATGCAGGGCATGTATTGATTAATATCTAACATATCAAAGTCACTTTATGGCTTGAAAGTCACTTGATCAACACAATTCATACTTTGAAGTCCTGTTCATCATAGTAAACACTTAGAGAGCATCAGATTGGATAACATCCCCAACTCACAGATGGGAAAAACAAGGCTCTGTGAGCTTAGAAGTCTCCTGAAGCTTAATGGAAAGGGTACATGGACCCCATGTGATCACAGAGAGGGGAGAAAAGACTGAACTTACTTCCTTCCTGCTCACCTACTGAAGGGGGACACAGAGGGAGGGGTCAGTGCCCCCAAGAAAAGAGGGAAGGGCCAGGGTGGTCTCCTTGAGAACACGCAGACTGCTGGACCTCTTGGTAAGGATGCCAGTGATACTGACCAAGAGGAGAATCTTATCTCTAGGAAGTGGTGCGCAGCATGTCCTGAGAACCAAACCTGGGATCCAGAGCTAATGGGCCACATGGCTCCTTAGAAACGTTGTGTAAGCCAGGTAATGACCTGAGGCTAAAACAGAGAGGCTTCACAGCCAAAACACCCTGGATACCTCTCCATCTCCACCGATGCTGGAGCGAGGTGGCTATCTGAGGATCAAACAGAGACTTCATAGACAAAACACTCTAGAAATCTCTCTTTCCATCTCAATCCGTGCTGGAGAGAAAGGGCTGACATTCTTCAGCTGCGCTCCCCATCTAGATTCCGAGTTACCTGTCTACCCTGCTGTGTGTAGTAGACTGCCTGCCCCAGGGGCCCCCAGGCTCTGGCAGACACACGTTTCTCTTGCTGGCAGTGGTTCTCAACCTTGCCCACAGTTTAGAATCACCTGGGGAGGGGGACTCTGCACCGCCCCAAAGTTCAATCAACACCCCAGAAAAGTTAAGTCAGAATCTCCAGGCTGGGTGGTCAACAGAAGGTAGATGTTGGCATCTTATGGCTGCAGCTGACTCCCAGAGGCAACCAGGCTCAGATTCAGCCCCAGGTGAGACAGCGTCTGTCTGATCCATGCGTGACCTCCCTTAACATGGTTTGTGCTAAGTGAAGAAATACAGCATTTTTAAAATATTGGTACACAATTATAAATTAGATTTTTGTATTAATCTAGGCCATTTTTTTTCAAAATCATGTCTTACGCTTGAAATTAGTCCTAAAGATCACTAAACTGAATAATTATTGACATCTCCCTTTACTTAAGTTTTGCCCTTAACTGAACCAGCAAAAATCTCTTGCATGTAAAATGGCTGTATTTATTTGTTTATGTGGTTATTTAATTGTTTATTCACTTAATCATTCCCTGATTGTTTCCAAGAGAATGTAGTAAAGTTTTATTCACATAGGCCATGAGCAGAGAATTGTAAAAGCTCAATGGGACAAGAAAGAAAGTAAATAAAAGAAAGGATGGCTGCCTAATGCTCTATAATTGATACAATATTATTCTGCTTATTTGTTGAATATGATTCATGTTCAAAAGGATCTTCTTCAATGTAGATACGCAAACTCCATTCACTAATGATTAGCTGGCTCAACGGTAAAGAAGCCATGTCTCCTTATTTCTGACCAACAATACGGTTCTCTAGGCCATATATTTTATCATTTAAAACCGTTCAATTTAGACCTGTAATATATATATATATGCATATATTTCACCTTGGGTTGGGAAGATCCTGGAGAAGGGAAAGGCTACCCACTCCGGTATTCTGGCCCAGAGAAGTCCATGGACTGATAGTCCATGGGGTTGGAAAGAGTCAGACACAACTGAGCAATTTTCACTAACTCACTATTGAGAGAGACAGGGGGAGAGAGAGAGAGAGATGGGCTTCCTTGGTGGTTCAGTGGTGAAGAACCCGCCTGCCAATGCAGGAGGCAACAGAAGACATAGGTTCGACCCCTGGGTCAGGAACCTCTTCTTCCCCTGGAGGAAGAAACAGCAACTGACTCCACTATTCTTGCCTGAGTCATCGCATGGACTGCAGCCCACCGGTCCCTGGGCTCCAAACGAATCAGGCACGACTAAGTGTGTCTTAAACAACAGTTTACAAACTATAATGTGAGCAATTAAGAAACATCAACGTGTCATTACTCAAGCCTGCTCATCTGAAGCACATCACTGCTGTGATCGTCTGTTACAAGCGCATTCTGCCACTGAGTCTGGTGTCCACAGCTGGTTCCCCTTCCACCGCATGTCACCCACTCTCACCCGGCCATCACAGCCCTTACCAGATGGAGCAGGGACCCTCCGGAGGACACAGGCATGTGGGGGTCGGCCCCCTCCTTCAGGAGTCGCAGCACTGGAAGAATGAGAGAGGAGAGTTACAGCTCATCTTTGTTCCTCACCGTGAACCAGAAGGTGCAGCGTTTCATTAGTGTCTAAATCCCAAACAGCCACGAAAGCCAAAGAAGACACACGGATCGCCATCCAACCTTATTTGGGGATTTAAGCTTGGCAGCATTTCTCTTCACACTGAAACCTTGGTTTGCCAACATCACCTATTCAGTTCAGTTCAGTTCAGTTCAGTCACTCAGTTGTGTCCGACTCTTTGTGACCCCATGAATTGGAGATGCCAGGCCTCCCTGTCCATCACCAACTCCCGGAGTTTACTCAAACTCATGTCCATCGAGTCGGTGATGCCATCCGGCCATCTCATCCTCTGTCGCCCCCTTCTCCTCCTGCCCCCAATCCCTCCCAGCATCAGGGTCTTCTCCTGTTACAGTCCCACAAATTATTCCCAAAGGGGACCACAGTCTTACAATTTATTATTGCAAAGTGCCTGGCTTAAGCTTCTGTCCTAGATCAAGGAGAAATAAGCAAAAAGAAGGGAATCACTTCACTCAGCTCATGTATGCTTTAGCTCACTCTTACTGTTTTAAACTCATTAGGACTCATTGGCTTAAAACAATAAAAGCTGACACTTTGCACATTAAACTTTCCTTCATGCAATTACCCCTTGGCCCTACTTCCATCATTCTCCCAAAGCCATTTGTAGCTAAATTAGCAATGTCAGACAGCTCAAAATAGATGCCACTCATCAGGATAACAGCACAGCTGGAAAGTGACCCGTGTTTCCATTTGAACAGCAGAGGTGGATGGGGTAGGGCAAGGAATGCAACAGGCCTTGGGACAAAGATTGTGTTGTTAATATATCTTCCGTGACATACTGTGGGCTCCAAGAGGCCCATCCATTCCCCAAGACACTATTCCAGTTCCCACTGTTAACAGCAGTATCGTAGTTTTCATAGACAGCCATTCATGCTTTGTCCAAATAGATAACTAAAGCAACAGTTCTTTGAGTTCGTATCGCACAGAACTGTATAAAATGACTAAGATGCAAACTCATATCTTCCAGAGCAAACTGTGTTTCCATTAACTTTCTCTGTAACTTGTCAATGTCATCAAAACATAAACACTGTTCTTGTCACCCCACGTGACATACTTGTCACCCCAAGTCTTGACTGTGTTCCAGTCTCTAGTTTGTTACCATCTTCCCCAAGTTTAGCTGCACATCACAGAGGACAGACACAATTCCCCTCACACAGCTTTCTCTCCAAGACTATCTCTTCCGTGATGTTTGCACGAGGGATGAAGAGGCGGCATGCCAGCCCCATGGGCGTGACAAACGCACACCCAGCCCAGTGCACTCTCCAAACAGCCCGTCCTGAAACGGGAGCATCTCTGTCCAAATCCCTCTCCTCGGGGAAGTCAGATGCATTGCTGCTCTCAGACCAACAGTACACTTGGCTTGGCTCCTTGATCTTACACCTCATCCCCCAGCCCTCTTCCACAAAGAGGTACCTCCATAGGAGCACTATTCATTCACCAACAGCGTTGCCTTGATGATGTTCTTTCTTTAATAATTTAACTCTTTTTGTGACCTAGATTCTCCTCATGTGGGTAGTTGGTGGCAAAGGTATAGATCTCACAGGATGAGTTGTAACCTGTCATCCTATGGCTCATCCATTTGTGGACACAGGTACCTCCCTTGTCTGCCCTTTACAGGAAAGTCCAGGAAGGTGAGGACTTTGCTTTCCTCCCCATCTCTGAGCTGCTATGAGCCAGCCTGTTGCCCCGCTGTATGTCAGCGGGCTTCCTTGCTCCCTTTCTCAGCCTCCTTCTGCACATATGTGTAGAAAGTGCATGCATGTCTTATTCCCTCATATACTTCCTACTCCTAATTTTAAAGTGTCCATGAAAACAGAAAGTTCCTTAACTATATTTACCAATAGTTTTCTCAGAATGAAAATAGCACTTTTACCCCAATTATTATTTGCTTAACAAATAAATCGTTCATCTTGAACGGGCTGATATCTCCTTGGTGCTTTATGGTCGTTACAACAAAGAACTTGTACTGGTGTGATCACACTACCGATAGTGAGGAAGATTATACTTCAGTAGTTAAAACATTAGTAAAATGCTATTATATTTCTACAAAGAATCCACCATGCACACATGTGGTGAACTATACATAATATAAACCAGAGATACACTGGCCTTGCAGTTCAACCCACTGGAGACTAAGTCCCACTGGGAAAGCTAACGGACTTCGCTCTATGCCTTAGCTTTCTGTTTGTAAAATAATGGACAATTGTTGGACTCACACGATGAGAGTGTAGTGTGAATTGAATGGAATAACACATAGAGCAGTGCCAGGCCTCCTGGCACTGGTCAGGGGGTCACTAAATGATTTTTATTAGTAAAATTACTGTTGTCAGTCATGAAACCAATAATGACGTATCATTAAACACGTACCTTAAGGTTTATTCTAACTTTTCTCAAAACTTTCTGATTACTAAATGCTGAATTTACATATAGGATGTAAGCCAATGCAAATTTACCAAAATTCATTGAAAGATGAGTTTACAATTTATCAGGTAGAATAAAGGGGCAGAAGAAGGCAATGGAGGAGACGATGGGAGAATGGTGAGCAAGGGGGAACCAAACAACAATTACAAGAAGACTGCATGTGACTTGGAGGAATGTGTTGTAGGGGATATTTTACATTATACTACAAGAGGCAGGCATCGTTCTGTGGTCAATGAAGAGGATCATAGCATATTAAGCAAAGAAGTAAAAAAAAACAAAATCTTAGGTAGGTGCTATGGACTAAGTGTTTGCTTTTCCACAGGAGCAGGTGGGTCACAACAATGGTGGCCTGAGCTGGTGAATGCTCAAGGATGGATGGAGATGTCTAGATGATGGATGGATGGATGGGTGGATGGATGAATGGATGGCTGATAGGTGGATATGCATTTAGGAATTTGCTGCTATAAAGGCTGTGCAGTCCACAGTTTGCTGTAAATTCCATATAATCAACTGATTCTCACAAAATGATTTTGATTTTTACTTAGCTTTTGTATCCACAGTCAGTCTTTGTTTCCAATTGGTGACCAGGACCTTAATATCCTGGTTGATATTTTCACTGAAATCAATGAGTATGAACCAGGGATCATCAGGAAACTATGGCTGTCTGGCCAAACCTGTCAGCAGACAGCCCTTAAACTAAGAGTGACTTCTACAATTGTGGAAGGTGTGTGAGCAAAAGACAGCAATTTAAAAAACAAGACAAGATGTCCAAAAAGAATGTGTAACCCAGACTGTATGTGACTCTTAAGAGTTTAAAATACTTACTAACTGACCTTCTCAAAAAAGGTTTGCTGACTCCTGAGTCAGATCGAAGTGAAACAGTGAAGGATGTCAGAACTTCAGGAATTTATCAACAAACCTGAGTGACATCCTTGCTAATCAGATAAGTTCCTGAACAATGTAATCATACTTTATGACATTTTTGTGCTTTTCACAATATAGTGGCCACTGACGCAATACATTTTAAAGTACAACCTGCATCATCAACACTTTCTCCACCACTTCTTGAATTCTACACAGTCAGGATAAAAAATCAAGCTCTGATTTCTAACACTGGCCAATTCTTTTGGTATAAATCTCCCACCATGGCTGATCCCAAGCTACCAGGGTGTGGTGTCACTGAACCCAGAGTTTGGAGGCGATCTGATGCAGTTCACAGTTTTGTGGCATTTCTATCACACAGACAAAAAAGACAAAACTTTGAGAGCAAAAAAGGAGAGGAAAATGTAGAGAACTGATTAAGAAGTGATGAGCTTTGAGCTTTACCTTTGTTTTTATTACAATCTGGTAATAATTAATTAATTACAATTCACTACTTAATTGTAAGTTTATATACTTTAGTTGTTAATACAGGTTTTAAAAAAACCTGTTTTACAACCAACTCATAATTCCTGATGTTTTAACAACCAGCTCTCAGGGGCAGTGAGGAGAGCCACCAGCATGGGACAGGAAGCAGCCCTGAGGTGGATAAAGGAACACTGTCCAAGAATATCCATGAATGAGACGGACTCTGCACCCAGCAAGCGCCGCGCATCCTTCCTGCCACAGGGAAACCAGTGAACAAACTCCAGCCTTTCCCTCACTCAGGCAGACATCAGACTCAGGAGAAAAAGAAGGGCAATCTGGCATTTTCTCTTCCTAGATAGAAAGACTGTTTCCTTAAGCACTGTTCACACTATCAGAGCTAAAGCGGAACCACAGACTGGTTATGGGCTGGTTTGCCCCTAAACACCATGGATCCAGAGCAAGAATAAGACAAAATTGACTACTGACGAAATAAAGAAACATATATTCCTCGCATATGCAAAGGGTAGACTGTGCTAAATTGTAAGCCTGAGCTAAGGGTTAAAAATGACATCATGAGGTGCCCAGATGTAAAGATGAAATAAAGAAAATATAAATTCATGGTAAGCACACGCCGAGCTCTCCAAAATACGGAGGCATCTAAAACTGGTATCAGTGCTTCAGTAAAAGAATTACTTTGACTCTCCCAACTCCATGACACAAACACTGTAATTGTATACATACAATACAATTGATGAGGAACCTGAGGCTTGTAAGTTATGTGAGGGTAGCATGGTGGATGTAAAACCTGTGGCTCCAAGCATTGTGTTCTTGACCATGAAGAACATCAGGACACTTTACCCCTCATGTAACAAGAGAGTGGAAGGGTCACCTTCAACTCAGGAACAGCAACAGGATTCAAGATCGACGGCAATGTTCTCATAGTTACTAATTTTGTGGGAAACTGTCCGAATTCAGGTTAAAATACTTCCTTCAAAAAGGTTCCAGTTCCTAACAACTTTATAACAACATAGTTGGAACTGACAGTCAAGTGAAAAGGCACCTTGACTCAGAGTCTGTTACAATAAAATCTGAAAGGAAACAGCTCAAGGAAAAACAGCCATCTGGGGACCAAACAGAATAATG